AATCTGAACATTCTTAACATCATTGCTTCAAAAAGAAAGGACTCCTGATTAGACTTAATCCCATAAACTGTGTGCAACATAGTGTTTCAGGCATGCAAGTTTAAAGTTGATTATATGTATATTTCTTTCTTCCATATTGTTAATATTTGTGGGAAAGTGGCAGTCCTGGGAACAGTTACCTAATCAACTGCTATTATTAGTCTGTTAGAAAAGCAAAATGTGTGTTCACAAGTATCACTTAGTGCTTTCCTGTTTGTTTTTTTTGTTTGCAACTTCCAGGTCATCCTTTTCCGGCTTTTCAGACACTTGTGCCTGGAGGTTCCCCCAGGGGATCTTTGCCCAGCCAGTTTTATGGGTGCCCTCATATCAGACATGGCAGTCAATGACTGCATTATGCTTTGACCTTTTTAATGAGGAGATTCACAAGGAGGGACCTGATTGAGAGGCTTAAGAGTTATTGTCCTTTCCTTTTTAAAAAGTATGATGCGTGGACCTTTTATTTACTTAATGTAGTAAGGATCCTTTATGTCCTTAGGATTGTCCATTGTCCAAACTTAGAAAAATACCTAGTCCTAAATGTGAAAGTTTTCACTCTCAGTGAAATGCCAAACAAACAAACAACAGAGAATAAGGCTTGGGAGATCCCCATAGGGAAAGTAGAATCATTTTGTTGGCATTCCAGATTCCTAGGGAGGAATCTTGAAATGCTGACTGGTCAGGTACAACCCTCATATTTCGACAGAATCCCAGTTGAAACAAAGAACCTATTCCGTTTCTTTCAAGTCTACCAAATGAGATTTCTTGATAATCTTCACACCTGGAAATGTTTTTCCATGTACCTAGGGTGCATTTTTCCTGTAGCAGTTAAGTTCTCTTTCCCTCCTGGTCTTTGAGCATAAATGAGTCGATAAATGAACTTGACTTACATTTTTCTCCCGCCACAGTTTTGCTTGTGAATGTATTCATCTCTAGAAATCTTACCAGTCTTTTGGGTCCCAGCTCTCGTCCTGCCCCTTAGGGAACACTGTCTTCAGCACCCAGCCAGGAGGGTCTTGCTGTCTGATAACTGTTCAGCCGTGCTCCACACTGCTCACTTAGCACTCGTTTTCCTGCTTTGCATTGCAGTTACTTTGTGTGCTGTCCTAGCTCACTTTAAAGTAGAAAACTAGGGCTGGCTGGTTACTAGTTGGTTAGCACATAGCCTTGTAACACCAAGGTCAGGGGTTCAGATTCCCATGCTGGTCAGAGGCAAAAAGAAAAGAAAAGAAAAAAAAGTAAAAACTGTAATGGGAGGGCCCGTGTCTTGTCCACCTTCCTTTTAAGTATTTCCTCACAGGGCAGTGGCTCTTATTTTCATGCGTCCTGATAGTAGTTTATGTAGAATTTGTCCTCTTGAGGTAATATGCCATTGTTTTTTTCTCCAACTCAAATCAACAGTACCTTGGCAGGGATGATACATGGAAGCAAAATGAGACATAAGATTACTTCCAGTCATAAGCGCCCATGGTTCTGCAACTTCTTTGTCAGATCTTAAGAAACAGGATACCACCCAATATATAAATATAGTTTTACATGACATGTGGTCTCAATTGATAAAGATTGGGCAAAGATCAATGTTTTAGTCCGTTTTGTGCTGCTATAACAGAATTACCCGAGACTGGGTAATTTATAAAGAAGAGAGGTTTATTTGGCTTATGATTCTGGGACAGCTGCATCTGGTACGGGCCTCAGGCTGCTTCTACTCATGGTGGAAAGTGGCAGGCAGCTGGCAGGTACAAGCAGATCATGTGGCGAGAGGAAGTAAGAGAGAGAGAAGCAAGAGAGAGAGAGGTGCCAGGGTCTTTAAGCAAGGAGCTGTGGCGGGAACTAACAGAGCGAGAACTCACTCATTAATCCCCCTCCACAGGGAGAGCATTAATTCATTCATGAGGGATCTGCCCCCATGACTCAATCAGTTTCCAACACTGCCACATCAGAGATCAAATTTCCACATGAGTTTTGGAGGGGACAACACATCCAAACTCCATCAATCAATGTATTTCCTTTCTCCATATATCTCTTCCTTTCCCTTTTCCAGAGTCTCCCCTAATAAAATTTTCCTCAGAAGGAAAAGGTATATTTTTCCTCAGTCTTCCTTCTCACTTCATGATCCTTGTACTTAGGAAATTAAGAACTTTCTCTTCTTAGCTTTCAAAATGATTCTTGTTTCTGTTTCTTAGTTGTATTCTGCAGTCTTTTCGATTTCCTAGAGTCCTAGACTTTATCTGCCAATAATGCAGCTTCTAATTGCCCTGTCTTGTAGTCACAGCAGTATTCTACTGCTAATACTGGCTTTCAGATGGTTTCCAAGTTTAACAAGAGCACACCTGAATGGGGTTATTTTAGGAAGTAGTGATAAGAAGACTTTATTTTTTCTTTTTGTGCATTTGATTTGCCTATCAGTCTCCTTTAATGACTGGCAACAGATCTACCTCTCCCTTTCAGACATCAGCTAATAAAACGTGTTTATCAAAAGGACATACTTTACATACTTTAGCTGTTAGTGCTGAAAATTAATGGGATTATTTTCTGTAGAGGTTTAGTTTGCATAAAACTGATACTTGGTTGTGTAGATTTGTATGTATTACATTATAATTTTATTTTCTCCTAAAATACCTGTAAATGTAGTTTTTCAAAACAGCTAATATACTGCGTAATATCAATAAATATCTGCCTTTTGTGTAATGGTCATACATTTCAGAAATTTTGTATTCCTTTACTTATAATTTTTCATAGCTGTTGTTTATTGGTTTGATAAAGACCTAAGTACTGGTATATGACTAAGTACTGGTATATGAGTAATGCTATGAAATGTGCAGCTAAATTCTTGCTAGAGGTTATTTGGAATTGCGTTTCTAACCAGCTTTGATTTGCATAGTTTTAATCATAAAAAGAATAATCTCATATGCAGATCTTCTATCTACTAAAATCTAACTATATGTGCCTTGTGTTTAGAATTAAGCTAAACATAAAAAGAAAACTTCAGTGGTTTTTCGAAACGTTGGTTTAACAGTATTCTGTACTTAATTTTTATTAGAATAATAATCTCAGTGTAAATGTAATATTAACTATCTATCTCTCTTGATTCTATCTACCTACCTATCTATCTGTATTATTTCCTGTCATTACTAAGAAGTCTCTCAGTCACTCATTTATATTTCTTGTACAGAATTTGATGAACACTTTTCCTTTTTGCCCATTCTTTCATTTAGATTGGACATGTTTTTGGATATTTTCCAAAGGATTTAATCAAAGTAGTCCATGAATATACTAAAGAAGAGCTACAAGTTCCAACAGATGTAAGTTGTGGATTTCTTTTTTGTCCTCACTTATTCGGCTTATAAATTTATCAGTGATATTCAATTAACTATTTTTGAA